AAGAAAATAGAGTCCAAGGATCAGAGTGTGGTGTGACAGGCGCACTGGGATTTAAATTGCTCGTTCAAGTGACAAATTCAACTTGTTCAACTACACGTCCAAGTTTTCACATATATTTTTCTTTAAAATTATAAGAAAAGACATTCTGCTGTTGTAATTCCTCTTCTACGCGATCTGCTGAACATCGACTAAGTGAATTCCTTGCACAAAACAGCGGCAGAATGCAGCAACAGATCAGAGAGGGGTACAGACATGGTCATGACCTGGGTCTATCGCACAGCTTAGCACGTGAAAAAGACAGAACCCGAGAAAAACACAAATTGAATGATAACTAGAAGAAACTCTAATTGGAGATTAGGTACAGGCTTTGTTGGAAACGTTTAAATGCGATGCACTTTGAGAGGGAGACTGAGCTGACTCGTGAAGCTTCAGTGCCTTCTTATCATCATGGAATTAGAACTCTTAAAAGCAAAATTAACGGACATAAGCTCTCTATGTATAAGCGGCAAACAAAGCCTAACTTTTCTGTAACTTTTTTAACTTTGGCGTAAAGTGGAAGATTTCGGAAATTTGAATCATCATAGGCTAGCCTGCTTAGCCTATGTAAAACGGGGAAAAGGTGAGAGGTTCGCCGGCCCTACCTCTTCCCCGTTTACGCCTGCAACCCAGGCCATTATTGGCAGAAACGACGGCAGGAGCGACGACGCCGCACTCTGCACTGAGCACGCCGCACTTTGCACTCGAAGTTTCGCCTTTACAGCGCAGATTGTTTCCACTGATACTCAAATATACCCCAGAAGAGAGAAGAAATAAATTTTTTGGGGCAGTGTTCACAGTGTACCGAGGTATTCTTTTTAAGCACGCTGACTGTGAATACTCGAGAACAAACCGTTGCATTAACGGCAGATATGAATTTGAACTCCGGCCTAAGCTCAGGCCAATGTTTTTTAAGTCTAGGGACATTTGTCCTTAAATCTATATTAGCGAAACCTCGATTAAAAAGTTAAGCAAGTTAAGAACTCACTAGGTTGGAAAATTAAAGATAATTTAGCCGCTCGCCGGACTCATTCGAAAATGCGAATATGACAAGGGCCCCGTTTCTCGAAGCGGGTCCCGAAAAGCCGTATCAAAACCTCAGAACTTATGACTACAGAGCTGTTTTATGCACATGTTCTTTTAAAATATGAACAGAGGTTCCCTTCATACTGGAAGTTTCGGGTGTATACACCTCTCTGTCTTTAAATTCCGATAACTAAAAATGGCTTTGCGGGCCCGAAAAGTTTCCGGGGCTTCTGAGAAATCGGCCTCAGGGTCGGAGTGACGATGACATGTTCATACAACATGTCTAGCCACTGCAGTTCTGGCTGGTTTTCACTAAGCATAAGGAAGTGACTGAGGACTCCTGAACATAAGCACAAGCAGAGCGAACTTACAAGTGAAAATATCAAATATTGAACTGCGGAGAAAGATACGAGGACATGATTGATCATCGCAGTTATATACACTTAAACAGCTGTGAAATTAAAGCTTGTAAAAAAATTCAGGCTTGAACTTGAAAGGGATTCGAACCCATGACCTCTGCGATATTGGTGCAGTGCCCATTTAGATTGAACACAACAGTAGCATAAATCAAAGCTACCGTTACGGCTTAAAAGGTTACATATAGGGCAAATCAACTTTTCATGCAGAAAAATAAACTGGAAAGCTATAAAATGCTCTTTATTTGAGAACAGGGCTCTTGCAAAAGTAGAAGTGCTTGTCTCGCAAAAAAGAGTCGGCAACGGACCTATTCGGGTGGGCTCGTAGCCATTCGGTTTCTCTCATGATTCTCTCGAGTGCTCGATCAGCTCAGCATAAGCCATAAGAGTAGCAGGTTACTATTTTTCGAAGGCTTAATTTGGCAAATTTACTGATTCATGCTAATAACTCTAGAAATCGTTGTTTTTTTTGTTGAGATCGAAACACGGCAAAGGAAACGCAATCGCTACAAAATTTAGCTTCCGCCTGAAATTGTAGTAACCTTATATTGAACAAGCATTTGGTGTCAAGCTTTATGCGCGCAATAGATTAATATTCAAGATGAAGGTCTGAAGGCCAATATCAGTTACTTATTTGTTCATTTACAATTAGTTACTGCATATTTGGTATCTAATTAAAAAATAGCACTGTCAATACTGCAGACAATTGCGGGTTCTAGTGACCAGTGACCTAGCGGTGTTCTGCCACACTGACACTTATGCAGGAATGGCATCTTTACTTCTAATTAAACACCGGCAGGGTGGAAATAAGGAGCTAAATAGTGGAAACGACTTCTTTATCACTCACTCACTCAGTGAGTGGGTGCTATAATAATAAAAAAATGCGATACTACTACTACTACTGCTGCTGCTGCTGCTGCTACTACTGCTGCTGCTACTGCTACTGCTACTGCTACTGCTACTGCTACTGCTACTGCTGCTACTGCTACTGCTACTGCTACTGCTGCTGCTACTGCTACTGCTGCTGCTGCTGCTGCTACTGCTACTGCTACTGCTGCTACTGCTACTGCTACTGCTGCTGCTGCTGCTACTGCTACTGCTACTGCTACTAATAATAACAGTAATGATTTTAAAGTCTCTAAGGATTGTCGTCTGAATTACTAAGAGAGCATGAAATGTGCGTAGAATCTGAGAACAAACAATTTAAAGGGAAAGGAGTTCAACAAAGCATCGGATACACCAGTCATTATTACCCTACCAAGCTTTAAGAAAACGAAATTTCCCGTCCGGCGCCTCCTGTAATCCCTTGTCAGGGGGGACATTATTGAATCGCCACCCGGAAATAATGAAACTGATCAAGGCCTTTCAGAGCGATATCGCCACATTCTACCAGAGAGCTGTGTACTTATATTAACGTACTTACCCATATCTGCATATTCACACGACATTTCTCCAGTGATGTTCTCTGGCCGAGTTTTCTAGTCCACTCAAGTTGAGAGGGCTAGTGATCGAAACGGCAGAGATCAGGCTCAAACAAGACTTGAACATAAAAGGCATCAACAAAAGATTTCACCGAGTTGTTATCGATCTGTCCAACACTGTGTTAAATTAACAAGTGCTTGGAACTGTTTGAATGTACTTTGGAGAATCGAGCGGTTTTTAGCTTGTCTAAGGTAAAGTGAATTCCTGATTTCCTGTCATATCGTAATTGTGTGATCATGCAATGCAGTCTGACAGGTTAATACGGCTATCAATAAGAGCAAATACATCGACAGAATATTGTTACTATAGATAGTAACTCACTATTTTTCAGTAAGGACTCGGCGATGGCCAGAAACAGAAGATGCAATGTCTTGAAGGTTACAAAAAGATGTTTCACCGTGCAAGAATTCGAAGAAGTTAAGAGGTTTTCATTTCCCCCTTGAATTGAGCTCGGTGAACCGTGGATTTGTCCGGGTTCCCTCGCCGAGTTAACTCAACAAGCAATTAAACTGCTTATGTCATCAGTGTCACCATGAAGTCGTGTCAGATTGGGTATATCACGAGTTACGTCCACACTAGTCAGTCCATGCATGCTCAAAAAAATAGGCTGAACCACTTAAACTGCGTGCCAACTGCAGGTCAAGACACAGCCGATGCAGCAGCGACTGTTTTTCTTAGAGACTGTGGAGACCTGGAGTATGAGCAGGAGAGCGTGACCTGCGTTACACTCGTCACAAAATCTCCTGCAGAACGTAGAGGGACAATAAGCAGTGTTAAGCAAGAACCAAATGTAAATTCAATTCCGACTCAGGCAATAAATGGAGCCCCTGGCAACCGTCTGCCGCCGAATATGCCATGGATGGAACATTTAGAGGCAAACTGTTCTGGTACAGCACTGGTAATTGGCCATATGGAAGGGCTTATCAAAGAAATAAATAATAATAATAATAATAATAATAATAATAAATAAAACACTTTAATTTTTTAATTTTAAAATTATCCTCTAGCCTAAAGTTGTACTACTTGATACTCTTCGAACGAGTAAATTTTCCTTATCATGGCATTCTTCATGTCAATTTTCATAAGAAAAACATTCTGCCAATTCGTCAACCCACTCAGGTCAAGTTTGTCTGGGTAATTGTTAAGTCTTTTACATGTAATAACAGCAACAAAGGTGAAACTTCTTTCGCGGCCCTGGTTTTGATTTCACTTTCGGCAAAAATGGGTATTCCCCGGTCTATTTTGGACATTACAAATGCCAAATGCTTGCTCTTTTGTGACGAGTCTCTCATGATGTCTCTATGTTTGAAATGTGTTATCTCGCAGTCCGACTCGTCAGCGGCTTAAAGGTTCAGTTCTCATCACTCAAAATGGGCCCCTAACGTATTGAGAGGCCCTGGAAACAAAGCTTATAACTTCACAGCAATTTTAGTACATTTTTGGTTCGGATTCAAGATGCAGCCAGGCTTGCTTTTATTAAGACCTCAATTCAACCCAATTAACCATTTGCTTGTGCTGATGTAAGAAATCGAGGTCCACCAATCGCCCACTTTTTTGTTCTTATCACATTTTGACGTCATCTGTGATTTATTTCTGTCAGCCGCATGTTAAGCATTGCAATGTTAGACATCGCATCATGCAGTCAGAGAAACTGTGGAGAACTGTGGAGAAGGAGTGGTGACGACGATCATCGAGGAATTACAGGACTTTGCTGCTTCCTTTTCCTGTGCCACTTATGTTCCTCTAGCTGTTGAAGGCTCACTTGATTTTATTTTCGTCACAAAAAAACTGTACTGTCTATTTAACCAACTCGAGAATTTCTACAGTTGATCCAATGGACAATTCTTTGTATGAGATGCGCCGGCAGGGATTTAGTCTGCTGGCAGCCGGTTT